ACAAATTCCACATACCGAAGAGAGACAAACATTGTTAGAAGCAAACAAGAGTGTATATGAACTGTTCATAGATGAAACTGACTTTGAGTGTTTAGATGAAAAGTCTTTATATGATGAATATAAACAATATTGTCAAGAATATGGTTATATGGCAGCTTCTAAACGAACATTCTTGGCAAATGTCAAAAGTCTTTTAGATGTTCAGAATGGTGTATATACAAAGAAAAATTTTTATGAGTAAATTTAAAAAAAAATTTTTTTTATCCGATAGAAAAGATGACAAAATTCATCTCAGTAAACAAGTACATGTCAGGACTTAAAGAAGAACTAGACCCATTCACATATTTGATGTTTACTTCTACCATTTTGAAAAGTCTTCATTCAGCAAAGTTTGGAACATCGAACCAGTTAAGTTTGCTATTGTGACTAAAAATGGTGCGAAATTTGAAGACTTAGACATAGAAGGTTTGTTAACAGTCAAAGAAAGTTTTGACAGAAGGTTCTCAAACCTTAAAGAAGGCAAAGCATACAAACTTGTTATACCTTATGAACCAAAGAAAGCAGACGACTATGAATATTATGAGTCTAAGATAGTTGAAGTTCAAGGTAAATTGGGTAAAAAGATTTTAGAGTCTAAGCCAGTGTTTGCTCCTAAAGAGGAAGAGAACATTGACATTGACCCAGAAATGTTCTAAAAAAAAAATTTATTTTACATGTCAAATTCTTTTTCTCTGGAACTGGTTCAGGTTCTTTCTTCTCTTCTACTTTCTTTCTTTCTTTTCTCTCTTCTTCTTTTCTGGTGGAGTTATGTCAAATTTCTCAGAACCATATTTATGTAAAAGTTCTTTGTCCTTTAATAGCTCTTCTATTCTGTTTTCTATTTCATCTTCAAGAACGGCGCATGTGTGTCTTCTTTGCATTCTAAGAACTTTTGTTGGACTTCATCTTTCCAAGAGGCGTCATCTCTGTCAACAAGTCTGTCATTGACAAATTTTAAGACTGCTCTTTGTAATGTTTTATGGTTCTTGTCATATTCCCAGAAACAGAACTTTAGAACAAATTCACCTTTCTTGTTTACACTATGTAAGATTTTATGGTCGACAGATGTTTTGCTGTCGAAAAGTTTGTCTCGAATATAGATAGCGAAATCGCTAGACATTTTCTAAAAGATAAAAATTTTAATTTTTCTAAAAATATGTTAGAAAAAAGTTTGCTGACATTGACAAAAAAATTTGAGAATGTTTTAAACAAGAACAAGAGGAAGTTAGAAAATGCTCAGATAAAGCCTATACATGAAAAGTTCTTATTTGCTCAGAATGGTATAACAGGTCTAATTGCCCACCTGGGTCGGGTAAGACTTTCACTTATCTTAAAATGGCTGCACAACAACAAGAACTAGATGAGAAGAACCCATTCTATGAGTTAGTTGTCATTGTAGTACTTCTGGTCAATTTGACCAAACCGTCAATTCGTTCAAAGATATTATAAAGAAGTCTAAGTTAGTATGTATAAAAGATACTGAGTTGTTAGATTGGATAAAGAAGTACCAAAGAAGAGTTTTGAAGTATAATGCTATAAATGAGTATATAAATTCTAAGTTAAAGACCCAAATGAGGAAATGCAGAGAATATTAGAGAAGAAACACTTCAGAAACAAACAGAAAGAGATAGAATTACATTTCGAAAAATTGCAATGCTTTACGATTGGAAGACATACCCTCATAGATGTCTTCTTATCTTAGATGATTTCGCCTCTCATCCTTTGTTAAAGAATAGAGAACAAGATATGTGTCGAATTCTTAAGAAGCTCAGACACTTTAACATCTCATTCGTAATATGTGTACAGACAGCAAAGAGTTTAAGTAAGGATGTTAAAAGAATACTTACTGACATTATACTTTTCCCGGATTGTCCGAAGACGATTCATGGAACTTATGAAAGAGTCCATGGCAGGTAAGTTTGACAGACATGAACTATGGGAGAAGTACAAAGTCATACAAGACCCTCATACTTCTTTCAGAATTCATATCTACGCAAACAAAGTTCAAATTGTAAAAAGTCAAGCTTGAAAATCTAAGTGTTTAGTCTTAGTAAGTCTGTTGTGGCTGGGGCTGTCGGTTCTTCTGGCTTTGGAATGGACTCGGTTGGTGGTAAGTCGACATTCGTTTGTGTCCTGTCGGAAGGAAAAATTTTTCCTGTCGGAAGGAAAATTTTTTCCTGAAGTTCGACCAAAAAGTTCTCAATTTTCGAAAATTTGAATGGTTTACGGACGAACAACAGAAAAAATTTGCCTGTCGGAAGGAAATTTTTTTTCCAATTGTCGGGAAATTTTTCCTGTCGGGATGGAAGGACTCGGAATGTCGGATGGAAGGACTCGGAATGTCGGATGGAAGGACTCGGAATGTCGGATGGAAGGACTCGGAATGTCGGATGGAAGGACTCGGAATGCCAGAAGGATTTGACAAGCCAATTTACCATCTAGAGCTACCTGAGCCATCTGAAGTCAAGCTTGAAAAATAAATGGTTCATCTACTCTACTTGTTTGAAGTTGTCAAAATACTCTGTTATTTTTTCCTTTAACAATGGCAAATCTTCTTTGAAGGTAAGTATTGTACAACCTTTCATATCATAGTGTGTTTGAGGTAACGTATCTTGAACTATTTGTTTCACATCTTCATTTGGGGTCATTGAAATCGGTAAGTTTTCGCGATAGAACCAATTTCTGTCAGATTTGTAAATCTTAGCAAGGTCGTAAAAGCTTTTGTTGTTTCTTCTGACTAAATGCAACATAACCATATCTTTATCTTCTTCATTTTCCATCTCTTCAGTATAAATCATATACTTATAGTTCTTTTCCTTTCCTTTTGGTACCGAACGTGGTATTCTTTTCTGAATGCTTTTGTCTTTTGCTTCAATGACTTCATCTTTTGCTTGAAGTTTCTTTTCCATCTCTTCACGTTCTTGTCTATGAATTTCGTCAAGAAGTCTGTAAATATTCCAAGCATAACGAGGCGAAGCCCACATTGCAACAGCATTTACAAGAAGTCTATGTACATAATATCCTCTCAAACCGTTTGGCAATTTTTCACGATTTTCATAGAGTTTTGGCGACTGGGGTTTCTTACGTACTCGCTGTTCTTCACTGTTTTCATAGAGTTTTGGCGACTGGGGTTTCCCTCCCACTCGCTGTTCTTCACTGTTTTCAGAAAAAAGTATGTCTCGCTGTGCTTCGCTCAAAAGTTCTTGTGTGCTTTGGTTCCTAAACCAGTCTTGTGGTTTCTTAGTATCTGGAGCAAAACATGCTGTCAAAATACTTTGCATTTGGTACATATCGTCTTTGACCGAACGAATGAGACGGAGTTGTTTGTTAAACTGTATGTACTCATATTCTTCATTTATAGCTTCATGGACTATAACTGTTGTTGTGTTCTCTGTTGTTGACATATCTGTCTTTACATACAAAATAAAAAAATAAATAAAAATAAAATTAGCGTTATTTTCTGACTTTCACAAAAGACCAAAAATAAACGCTTTACATGTATTTTTCAGCAACTTCGTCAAATAATTTTATAGCTTTATCTATCTCATCTACTTCAAACGTTTCTTTACCTTTTATGGGAGCACCATACATTTTCTCAAACTTTTCAAGTAGTTCTGTTTCAGCAGCTCTCATATCGTTAACGAACACAACCTTGACTCTATTGACTGTACTGTCATATCTTTGAGTTATATTATATGTTCTTCCTATCTTATATCTCTTTGTATTGAAGTCCTTCGGTTTCTGAACGATGTAAAGTAAGCCTTCACTGCAACGTTCCGTATCGAATGAACCATATGTTATGAAGTTATATCCAACAACTGGGTCTAACCATAACAAAACTATTGGTATAAGACTTTTGTCTATAAGATATGCTGTAGTTCCATAGAATCTTACCGATATCATAAGCTTAGGATTTCTTGTCAAAATTTTCTGAGTAGAAGCAATTTTAACCCAGTCGTGGGATGTTTTCTTTCCAGATGGAGATATAATGTCTGACAAAGAATATTTGTTGTATTTCTTTGAGTATCTTACGTTTAAATCACCTATTCTAACCACTTTGGTGTCATTGTCTATCTTTCTAACTGTTTCAAACTCAATGTTTAACATTTCTGTTCTTACATACAAGATAAAAAAAATATTTTATAAAAAACTAACTTTATTTTTTCTATCTTAAGGAAATTCATGATTTTCATAGAGTTTTGGCGACTACGTTTTCTTACGTACTCGCTGTTCTTCATGATTTTCATAGAGTTTTGGCGACCCCGAAGGAAGTCGGTCTCGCTGTTCTTCACTGATTTTCATGAGTTTTGGCGACTACGTTTTCTTACGTACTCGCTGTTCTTCATGATTTTCATAGAGTTTTGGCGACTACGTTTTCTTACGTACTCGCTGTTCTTCACTGATTTTCATGAGTTTTATGCAAGACCGAAAAAAAACGGTCTAGAGAATTTTCACGATTTTCATAGAGTTTTGGCGACTACGTTTTCTTACGTACTCGCAATTTTTTACGATTTTCATACGGAATCTCTTCTCTCGGTTTTCCTCGGGAAGCAATCTTATGCCATTTTACTCAGATTTTTGTTGCTGAATTCAATAAAAATATATTTTAGGGTAGAAGGTTAGATCTCACCCGTTTTCTCACCTCATGAATTTTCATGATTTCATCGTACATGTTTTGTCAAGACTTCTTCATCGTAATGAGCGTAAATCAGACAAAAATAAAGTTTAGGTGAAGAGGTGAGATCTCACCCGTTTTCTCACCTGTTTTCTCACCTCAGTTATTTTATAAGCGTTTTACATGGTAAACGTTATTTTTGGAATTTTGTGAAAACTCAACGGTTTGACACAAGCCCTAAAAATTATTTTACTCAGAATTTTGTTGCTGAATTCAGCAAAAATAAAGTTTAGGTGAAGAGGTGAGATCTCACCCGTTTTCTCACCTGTTTTCTCACCTGTTTTTTTCACAACCGTTTTACATGAATTGTACGATGTATATTTGAAATTCTAAACAATTTCGTAGCTTCTATTTCTTCTGTCAGTATGTCAAAAGTTTTAACAATGCCGAAAGTCTCTTTATACTTCTTCTTGACGTCAGACAGAAGGAAATCTTCTGCTGTTGGATAGTTTTTGTTCAGAAATTCTAACATGTCCATTTTATTTTCTGCTGGCTTTTCTGCTTCTTTCTTTAAGTCTGCATAGTCGTTTCTCATTCTTTCTATCTCTTTGACGGAGTAGTTATATTTTCTTATTGCTGCTTTACATTTAGAACATTGCGGGTTCATTTTTGCGTTATACATTGAAATAAAACCAGCTAAAACAACTAAAGCGTCAATGGTTTTCTTTAAATCTGAAGCAGTTGGTTTTATTTGTTCATTCCATACCTTACCTCTTCTATCTTTATCTCTTATCTGCCATACACATTTTGCAACTAATGTAACAAAGTTGTCGTAGGTCTTAAACTCCACCGATTTATATATGTCAGAAACATTCTTATATACCATGTCGCAATCTTTGTCCATAACCTTATGGTTGCAATGAAATCCTAGAAACTCATAGTTTACCTTTCGTATGAACTTCTTTATTTCTACTGAGTCAGTTGCTTTGACTTCAATTTCATCGAATTCAGGAATGGTTAGTTTTTGTTGTTGGATTTCAGGCAATTTGGGTAAATGGTCAATAATGTCCTGCATTTCATAAAGATACTGTTCATTTGTTTCATCTTTCGCACTACAGTCTAAATTACTTGTTAAAAGTTCTTGCTTTATCTTCTGGATTTCTGTTTCAAAAGTATATGAAGAAGGAATGAAGCTTTTCATCTCTACTAACATTGACGTAGGATTCATGACTAAAGAGTTTGGTGCTGTTGTTTGAATTGTTGTTGTGCCGATTGTTGAAATCATATCTTTTATACAAAATAAAAAAATAAAAAAAAATAAAACTAACTTTATTTTTTTATTTCGGGAAAATTCATGAAAATTCAAGAGGTGAAAAAAGAGGTGAAAAAACAGGTGAGATCTCACCTCTTCACCTAAACATTATTTTTGGGTCATTTACACTCATTACGAAGAAGTTTCGACAAAACATTTACGAAGAAGTCTTGAAAATTCAAGAGGTGAAAAAAGAGGTGAAAAAAGAGGTGAGATCTCACCTCTTCACCTAAACATTATTTTTGGGTCCTTTACACTCATTACGAAGAAGTCTTGACAAAACATTTACGAAGAAGTTTTGACAAAACATTTACGAAGAAGTTTCGACAAAACATTTACGAAGAAGTTTTGACAAATTCAAGAGGTGAAAAAAGAGGTGAAAAAACAGGTGAGATCTCACCTCTTCACCTAAATTATATTTTTCAATACTTTTTCAGCACTTTTCCGTAGTTATATATGAAAGACAATTCGAGATAAAAGTCATAGTACAATGGAATAATATGTTGCACACCATTTGTTGTGAACCAAACTTGAAAGTCAGAGAAACTGTTACTAGGTGGTTCGTAGAATTTAGAAGCAAAGTCATAAAAGTCCTTACCAATACATAGAAAACTATTGTTGCTTGAACTGAAACTTGCATGACACATAACATTTTGAGGGTCAAACACGTTTCTATAAACTGTCAAATCTGCTGGTGGAAGTATAAATTGAAATGGACCATCTGGTGGTAATGGTTCGTTCTGGTTTAGTAACCGAAGAAATTGTGCCCAAGAACGTTTGTCTACTTTCCAAAATAAAAACTCTGTATCTCTTGGAGGGTTAATTTCAATCTTTTGAAATGAAACGGTGGAGTTCATCTTGTCATATTCTAGTTTCAGATAGTATGTTCCATTTAGTAAAGAGTCGTATTTTTCTTGAAATTCCCAATAATATTTGTTCATTTGAGTTTGAAAGTCATTTAGAGTTTTCTCAAGACTTTCGTCTGAACGAACTGTAAAGATCCTCATTTCGTCAAATTTGTCTATTAGACCACCAGAACCTTTATTACTGCCATGAAAATATACTGCGAACATAAATGCGTTAGTTCTATTTGAAAACAAAACTCTTCTAAATCCTATTGCCTTTGCATCTGAAGGACTTTGAAGCCAACGAATTGGATAGTCAAACCTGTATATTCGGGATGAAATTTCTTCATCTGAAATAGTCCTACCAGCATTTGTAAAGATATAGTCTAACGGTTTTGTATCTGCTACTTTTGTTCTTTGTTTTTCAACCTGAAGCATTTAATATATGTAAAAATATATTGTTTTAAAATAGTATGCCATTTCATATTTCTCATCTAACAAACAAGTTTCCCAACGGTCTTCTCCAACAAACTCAGCGTACATTTCAAATAAAAAAAAAAATGTCACTTTTTTAAAAATAAATTTTTACTTCATGCAATGTTTTATTTCTGTGCCGTCTTCAAGTATGCCCCAGTACTTACGCTTGGAGAGGACATGAACTTCGGAAATACCTTATCTAGCTTAAAACAGCCCATCTTTTCACTGACCATTCCCATTTCAATGAGTTTGTTGTATCCTTCTTCGTTCGTCATGAGTGCGTCAATGTTCTCATAGTAAACCTTCACTTTGGATTTGACTTCGGAGAAGAATTTGTTGTAGTTGTCAAGGACTGCTTTTGCGAACTGAGGTAAGACCAATGTTCGACAATAGGTTTTAATGTGGTTACTAAGCCACTTTGACCTTGAGTGAATTCGTACTTCAAAACAAAGGAGAAAACCTTTCAACAAAGTTGTCGACCTTCTCATAATGTTTACTCTTCATCTCTTGAGGTTCTTAATGGAATATCCCCATGTCGAATTCATAAGCAATTTGAGTGTCATTGCAAGTTTGGGGTTTGAAGCTTTCCTAATATCATACAGTTGTTGTATGACTTTTCCAACTGTATAGTTCCTTCCCGGGAACTCACCATCTTCGTTTGGAATTCCAGTCGGAATATATTGGACAAACCTCATGTATGCAGCGTTAAGTCGACATAGTATATATCTTTTCATCTGAGTCGAACTTGTCGCAACCAATTGGTCCAGTTTGTGGAAATTCAAGTGAGTCTCTTATCTTCTGAGAAACTTCTCCTGTTATCTCATAAACATCGTCGAAGCAACCTGTTTCATATAAAACCTTCTGACCTAACTCAGATGCTCTCCAATACAATTTGACGTCAATTGGATGTCTCAATGGAAGTTTGTTTATAGCATCTTGAAGTTCTTGCAACCTCATTGGAAGTTCTTCTGGTTCAGGTTGGTATCCGAACAATCCAACTCCTTTTGGAATTGTGTACTTCTTTTGTACTAGAACTTTGTCTGAACAACTTTTGGTCTTGCTAACAGTGAAAAGTTTGTTTCGTCTTTTGGTACAAAAGTTTCTGTCAGCTTGTCATCTGGAATTGGTTCCAACAAACCTTTCTCGAAAGAATGTTTACAGCTCTGACAATGTTGCACTTGCCTTTTCCGAACAATGGGTTTGTAAGACTTTCGTTCAACATGAAGTGGTTGTGGACAATTGCAATCTTCAACCATGGTAAATTGAACTCAACAACATAGTCGTCATGTGAAGAACCTTTAGCTGTAGGTATGTTGACTCGGATATTGACATTTGCCAACGGTGCAATTTTTGCCAATTGACCTCTGAGAATGTACCTTGTCTTCACACATGACTCAAGATACTTCATCTTCTCATCTGTAACAAGACCAGAGTTCCTGAGACATGTAAGAATGCAAGGTTCATTGACAATTGTTTCAATTGAATTGTAAATTCCATACCTTGTCAAGTCAATGTCAGACTTATTTATGAAGGGGAAGTATCCAGCATGTTGTCTGACTGCTTGAGGGTTAGGTTGGTACCATTCGAACTTGACACTTGCAATTCCTTCAATTGCATTCAAAATGTCTGAGTCGGAGTCAACCATTTGTTCTCTCTTTGTAGTCTTGAAAGCGTCAAGAAGTTTTGCAGCTGTTTGTTCATTGCCATTTGCATAGTAAATGTGACCATCCAAATCCGTTATGGTCAATCTGAGATTGTGTCCTTTCTTATTTCCGTCTTGAATTGCAGCAAGTACACCCATGAAGCCTTCTTTGTTCTTTCCTTCGTCAAAGTTTACTGTAAAGGTTCGACCAGATGTAATTTGACTTCTAACTTCACGATACTTTTCATATGCATATCTTGTTCTTTCCATGGGAGCATGTGTGTCTTCACCTTTTCCTTTTTTCCTTCTCAAAGGATGCAATTGTTCGTCATGTTTCCAGTAGAATCTGGCAAAGCCGTCGTGTCCTTCAACTTGAGGTTCACTAACATCGAAAGGCATGTCCATAAGACGTTCTTCTTCTAACCTCTCTAGTCTGTTTGGATAATTGGCACGTGCTGTTTCCAAATCCATTTCGTAGCGAAGACCAGACAATTTGTCATAGACTTTTATGGGTCTTCCCTTCCTATATTTAAAATTCTTCGAAACTCTCCAACCATATCTTTGCAACTCTGCTTTTATTCTAGCAGATTTTCTATCCATTCTATATGGGGGCATTTTTATAAAAATAAAAAAATATTTTTTTTCTTTACTTTACATAACCGCCTGCTGCCATAAGTCTTTGACGCCAACCCATACCAGCTAATGAAGGTTGACTTGGTTTAGTTTGGAAACTAAACTTTGGTTTTGGTTTATCTTCAGTTTTTGGTTTCTCTTCTTCTATCGGTTTTTCGTCACTTTTCGGTTCCTCTGACTTTACCTCACCTGCAGGAACAGTTGTGTCGTCAACATCTTCATAAATATCATATGCCATTTGTTTTTGTTTTCCTTTCAACTTTTTGTGTTTGTTGTAAAGTTTAGAATATTTCGACTCTAAGTCAATGAGATGTTCTATAATGAACTGTTGGTCAGTGAAGTAAACTTTTCCATCTGTTGTCTCGAAAGCTCCTTCAGACTTCAATATTTTATTTGTGAGAGTCTGTTTCTTTTTTGAGATACTAGCCGTTCCATTTCTATGAAAAGTGACTTTATAGTTAGGGTTTGTATTTCCAGACCTGGCACTTTCTATTATTGAATTTTTCTCTTCATCTGTAAGTTCTTTGACAGGTTTTGACAATGGTTCTGAACTTTTTGTTTGTGGTGTCAAATCTACCGTTTCAACTTCTTCGGTCATTTCAATCTCAGTAAAAAATTTAGTTTGGTTTGTTTTCAACTGGTTGTTGTTGTTTTTTAAGTCGGTCTAAAACTTCCTGAGGTATAGGAAGAACTTGACAAACACGTTGTGTAACTGCTGGAAGCCGACAAATCCATCTTGAACTTATTTGTCTCAATGCTGTATTGTTCATTTCATCTCAGTAAAAAACTTTACATTCCCCACGTTTGAGGCGGTTGAGGTTGGTTATTGTTTACCCATGTTGTGCATGGTTATATCCTCTGTTAAAGAATCTTTCACCTTGGTCCATATAGTGTCCTGCTTGGTTATAGTAGTCATTTGCTTTGTTATAATAGTTTCCTGCTTGTCTTCCTACATTGTCCATCCATCCTTGAACTTTTCCTCTTGTTTCAGGATTTGGAATAAGATTTGTTGCATCTCGTGCTACATCCCAACCTTTCTGTACAGTTTGTATAATAGGTTGTGCTTTCTCTTTCAGTATACCTAATGTACTCAAAATCTTCCTTCCAACTCCAAATACACCTCTGGCTATTGTTCCCACTGCGGGCAAAAATCTGGATGCAACTCCTGCTAATGCGCCAAATAAACCCATTTCTTATGGGTTAAAAAAATGACGAATCCAAACAAGGACCCCTATGTTTCTAAAGCGACAAAGAAAGCACTCATGATAAAAATCTTTAGTTCAACACCAAATGCTTGGTTTATGGATATCTTGGAAAACATTCCGAGGTATAGAGAAGATGGACCACCATACTGGCTAATATTTGTCGGTCAAAAC